TCTCAATTTTTGTACGAGATTATGTGTCGGCATGGGTGCTTTAAAATCCAAATCAATGACGAGGGTCGGGAGTTTGTAAACGAAGTATTTAAACAACTACACGAACTAACTGGAGTAGAGCAGAGAGTTACGTCTGCTTATCACCCTCAGGCAAATGGATTGGTAGAACGTCAAAACCGAACAATAAAGAACTCTTTGGTAAAGGTTTTGGAAGGTAATCCTAAAATGTGGTCGTAAATTATTGAGGGTATTCTTTTTGCTCATCGCGTTAATCGACATTCTTCTACTAACTACTCTCCATTCATGCTGATGTATAATCGCGAACCAATTTTGCCAATTGATGTGAAGCATAGCCTTGTCAAAGACGAAAGCAATAAACAAGAACACCAAGAAGAAAATATAGACGTTGAACAACCATTCAATTTCAACTTTTTTGATGCCGTCTTTTCATTAACAAGTAAAGTCAAAGCAACAATCATGTCTGAAGCAAACGAAAATATAAGAGTTGCGCAGAAAAAGCAAAAACGAGATTATGATAGTAGACATTTGTCAAAGTCAGAAATTAAGGTAGATGACATTGTATTATTGAAAAACAACAAACGATTTGATCGGAAAGGTGGGAAGTTTTCATAAAAATGGCTCGGACCTTTCACTGTAGTGAATATCTCTGAAAAAGGAGTCGCAACTTTAAAAAAAGGCATTGTGGTTAACTCTTAAAAAAATATACAACATTGTTCAACTTAAAACTTATATTCAAGGAGCAGACGACAAACTAAAACCAATATTAGTTGAAGGATCTGCATATTTTTGGAATCATGCACCTGACGAAATTGTTGAGATAATTTTGATGTATGCCGTGCATCAATCGGAGAACTCATTCCCTGGACACAAGTGTGAGACCTATACAAGTATAAAATCAACGTGTAGTAAGTGGGCTTGTTTAATTAAAAGAAAAGGTACTACCTTACTTCCAAAGATATATATTGATTCGTGGAAGCCTTTTGGAAAGCCTTCCAATCATAATAATGAAAGTAATACTGTAAGTACACAAATGTTAATAAAAACTTTTGGAAAATCTAGTGGACTAGCTAGCCAACTATCAAATTGCATAGGTGATAAAAAATGGCGATCTTCTTGGTTTATCTTGACACCTCAGAAACACTCTTGGTATACCATAGATTGAATCTTCTGGAAAACAAAGGTATGTCAGTCAAATCAATCATCTTTGCAAGTTTCGTCTTTATGGCTTAAGAATGAACTGTATGAGCTCACAGAGGCAGATAGGGAAATTTTGGAAAGTAAAGATAGCTGGTTGAACGACAATCTTATTGACGCAGGGCAAAAGTTAATTTGTAAGGCTCTTCTTGGCCATGAAACTTACCAATCAGTATTAAACTTCCAGAAAAAGAAGTTCACATATTTCTCAAATTCTGGCGACCACCTTCAAATATTGCACGACGGTAGTTCTCATTGGCTATTAGCATTTGCTTTAAATGGCAGGGTTCAAGTGTGCGATAGCCTGCGCACTAACCTAACATCAATTTTGAAAAAATGTTTAAAATCCCTCTTTCAACCACTTGTGAAAAATGGAAAGCTTAAAGTAACATTTCTTCCCGTTGATAAGCAAGTTGATAGTTTCAATTGTGGTGTCTTTGCTCTGGGTCCCCTCTTGATGTTCGATTTTTTGTGAATGAAATGCGTACTTACTAAATAAAATGTTTGACAGACGCTCACTTATATCCTTTTCCAACACTTGAAAAGGCCATCGGTGTTATATGCAACAAACCTAAACTTTTCATGATTTGATTCAAAACTCAAAATTGACTTTTCACTTGTATGTGATTTTATAAATTTGTTTAAAACCATTACAAAGCAAATCGGTAACCAATACTATTTTCGTAATATTCAAATGTTTTTCTATGTAGCGTTTATCATTCTACTAAAATTACTCTAGTATATTTCTTAGAGTTTTATTTTAAGTATTTACAAAAGAAAATATTGCGTTAAATACAAAATATGAAAAATACCTTGCCGTCCATAGAGGACGCCATCCTTTTTTAGGCAATTTCACTCCCCCCAGGCGATGACTACCTATTTAAAAAATAATGAAAAAACTTATTTGATCTCATTCCATATTTTATGGACTTCTTTTTGACAATCGTCTTTTTTATAAGTTGGATGAAGGTTATTATAAGACCTTATTAGCAAATTAACAAAAAAAATATTTTTATCCATCTTGTGACATGCAGGGCCGGCGACAAGGGAGGGAGGGGGGAGGTTGGGCAAGGGTGCAAGTGCCCCTCCTCACTTACTTTTTATTTATTAAAGTTGACAATTTTTATAAAAAATTGAGGATTTTTTTTTTAAATAAGGTAGTGTGCCCCCCCCCCCCCCCCACACACACACTGCAAAAACCGTGTCGTCGGCCCTGATGCACATTGAAAGTATGACGTTCAAATAAAAGTTGCAGCAGACAACACTGATATTTTACACTTTAGGAACATTTAAAATATATATATATATATATATATATATATATATATATATATATATATATATATATATATATATATATATATATATATATATACTCTAACGATATATTTATAAAAGCACGTTGACATAGTTTTCCATGTTATTTAATATAAAAATAGAAAAAAAATCTTCAAGTGAAGTCTTTTTTTATTCTTCTTATCCCAACCCCCTCTCTCCTTTTTTGCAATATGTTCTTTATGGTTGACCCCTTGAGCAATTCATTTATCTTTTTTTAAAGAAAAACAACGAATAAAAAAAAGTAAAATTTCATTCCATTAAACTTATTCATTTCTACTAATTTCTATATTCTAAATATTTTATATTTCTACTAATTATCAAAAGTTTAGTTATTTTTCTATCATCAATTGAAAATAAAATCAATAAAAAAATAAAATCAATAAAAAAATAAAATCAATAAAAAAAATTTGATTTCATCAAACAAGATATTATTGGAATCTTAATTTACCATTATTTTACTTTCATCAATAATTTATTTGTGTCCATAGTTATACTTTTAATTCTCTTTCATTAAATCTTCGTTTACTTTTTATTTCATAAAACTAATTAAACCGTTGAACTGTAAATTGTTGACTGATGATATGGGATCTTGTAAGATGTCTTTTGTAAAAATGTTATCCTTCAAATAGACTTTTTATGTGGACTATTTTTTCTTGACCACCTTAGCTAAAAAAATAAAACTTCCATCTATATCATTATTTTCAATAATTTGGTGATAATTTAATGCATTTATAGTCTCTTCACAAAATACTTTTAACATATATCAACCTTTTGTCTAACAATCAGTCTAGGGTTAGCAGCAACATAAGTCAGCTTAGACATTTTAACCAGCTGGCTAACTCAATTTCAGCAGACGTTTGAATTATCTAATTGCTTCGTATACACTTTAATACATGCATAAAATTAAAAAGTAAAAAAAAGCCATCAGTTGTAAACCATAGAGATAAGCAATCAAATCGTTTTAAAAAAATGCTTGACTTACTCTATTATAATCATTAATTAAAGCGATAAATTTTCCATTTGTCTTCTTAATTTGTCGATTAGGATATTAATTTGATTGTATACAAAATCCCAATTATTTAGTGGTAACATTCTTACTATAAATTTTGTTCCCTCATAAAAACATACAACCATGAAAGCAAACATAGTTGTTGCAAAACTTGATTCATTGTTTACTGCTTTACGGTTCACATCTAAAAAGGTTCAAAAGAAGGTGATCTGGTTAAAATATTTGCTTTACCAAACAAATGTCTCCGTGATAAGTTAGCATAGGTTTAACATAAACTTCATCTAGTAATAACATACAGTTTTTTTGACTATTTTGTTGAGTTTTAAAAAAACACTACAAACAAAAGTGTGAAACTTTTGAAGTTATAAGTGTCAGGAAGATAAAAATCATTTCTTAATCGATCATATAAACTATGTGACCGTGCAAAATGTTCTAAAGCTCAAACAATAACTTCAGGTGAATATTTTTGCTAAAAAATGTTACTTGAGTTCAACTTATGCATTCAACCTGCTGACGTCTGTTTTCTTTTCTGACTTCTTAAAAGAAATTAAATATCCAAATGATGTGACCAAATTTTGAACTTATAAATACAATTTTTAACTAATGAAGTAATATTGAATACAACTCCAGCATGATAGGTTTCATATGATAAATTATTAAATACTATTAGACACAATTTACTAATACCAGTATTGCTTTAATGCTCTTTTGATTGCAAACAACATCTATTCAAAAAATAAATAAATAGATAAGCTAATGAATCATTAAGTCTTCCTTGAGATAAATAACTGCAAAATATTCTAAATGAATCAACTTCGTCAAACTCTACGAATTTTGAAAGTTCGTTTTTTTTTTACTGATCTGAGAAACTCTCTAAGCTCTCTAAGAGAGCTTTTACCTATTATTGTTGTTTATTTTCTAGTGGAAGAGATGGCACTAAACTCTAAATTAATTCAAATACACTAGGTGAATCTCGAGGATTTTCTTTTCCTTTTACTTTAATAACTAGGAAGTTTGATGGAAAATGTTTTGCACAAACTACAGTGTAATGTTTATATGGTATATTGTCTATTGGGAAAACGTTAATCCATCTCTGGGGCTCTTTAAGATCTCTTAGAAATTCTAGAAGTATTTGTCTTATCTTTTACATAGTTATAGTTACAACCAGTTTTCTGTTCATTTTTAAAATAATTTTCTAGGCGTTGCACGGTGGGCCAGGTGGTAAACAAAACCTCAAAAAAAAATTTCGAAATACTTCCAACTACTTAGTACATTATATTTATAAGAGCATAATGTATGGTTTAAAACATTATTTGTAGTTTGATTGTACATCATAAATGTACAATTATTATTTACAATTGAATATAATGATTAATTATTATTATTATTTTTTTTAATATACCATAACAACATAACTATAACAACAAATAACTTTTAAATTATTTAACATATGCGAAATTAATTGACATATTATTAAAATTTAATTTGATAGCTTTTCAAAAAATACCATAACAAATTCCAAGGTCTTGTATTAAAGTCACAGTTTTATTTTGAAATATAAAGGTAAGATTCTTGTTTATAGTATAAAAATATTATGTTAAAAGTGGCTCATATAGTTTAGAACCTGCTGGAACAGCATATTAATGTTAGAATAAGTTAATACAATATATGTACAGCCTGTTGGTGCTGTTTTATTCTGCTCATAGCTGCCCCTTTAGGTTTGGTAAACATTTGAAAAATATATATTGTTGTAAAATGCTATTCGCGACAAACCTATTTTTTGGTTTGTTGTCATTATTAGGTGTTGTACTTATTGTACTGGCCTAATTAAATATATCTGAAATAAAAATAATGGCCATATTCATGTTATATTAGTTTATAGTGGTTGCACTAATAATTTTAAATTAATTTTTTTGTAGTTGATATGAAGATAAGTGATGTCCATAACCGTATACGGCATGACCAACTAAATCCGAGTGATAAATCATTTTCTTTGTCTGTAGAAGCTATTTTAGTCTCTATGAATTTGGGTTCTACTGGGTGTGCTGCATTTTTAAAAGTTTATCAAAAGAAATGGAAGGATGCAAACCGAGGAAACATAAAGTTTGAGAGTAAAAATAAAAATTGGTTGACTCAGGACTTTAAATCTACATACAGTAATAATATATCTAAGCCTGATAATTCTAGTCAATTACATAAGATTGGTGGAAGACCAAGTTGTTCCTTTAAAGATGCTTCTGACAAAACCAAAAGGAGAAGACTTAATGATATTATAAATAATTTTTCTAGTGATGAGTTACTCCACTCAGCAAGGCTTAAATTAAGAAATGAGTATAATTATGAGGCTGCCAAGCAAGTTGCTGAGATATCAGAACCTTCTAGTCAATTTAAAAAGTATACACCTGATGAAGGTCTGGCATTAATTATAGATGGTGGCATGTCAAAATCAACCTACCAACTTATGAGAAATGGAGCTGAAGAACGTGAATGCCATATATATCCTTCATACAACAACATAAGATTGTCCAAAGCTAAGTGCTATCCAGAGAACATCTTTGATCTTTGTTGATGATTATTCAGCACATGTACCACTACAAGAATTATTAAAACATACAGTGAAAAGACTTTGTGAGGTGCAAGCTCCTGTGATCAGCACAATGCTAGATGGTTTGACCCGGTTGACTTTGCGTTGCAAGGCTGGGTTTGATGGGGCTACTGGGCAAAGCATGTACAAGCAAATTAGTAGTGAGGAAGCTGGAGATTGTAACTTAAAAAAAGAAGAATCTCTGTTCATTACCTGCTTAGCACCACTAGAACTCAGTGGGTTCTGTAATAACAAAAAAGTACTATTATGGCGAAATGAAAAGCCATCATCTACTGCATATTGTCGTCCAATAAGATTTTCTTTTCAAAATGAAAGCAAAGCAGTTGTTATAGAAGAAGCAAAATATTTAGAATCTGAAATCAAAAAATGTGGTGTTTTTAATTTTACTTTTAATGGAAAGGAACTGGTTGTCAAAAGTATTATTGAACTGACCATGATTGATGGCAAAATTCAAACTATTCTGTCTCATGTGACTCAATGTTGCTCTGTGTGTGGCGTGTCTCCAAAAAACATGAATAACTTGGAAATGGTGCTGAAATTGGACAATTCTAATAATTTAGAATTGAAATATGGTTTTTCTAGCCTGTATGCCTGGATTAGGTTTTTTGAGATGGTATTGCATATTGGATATAAACTAGAAACTCAAAAGTGGCAGTCTAGAGCTATAGAAGATAAGGAAAATGTTATGCAAGTGAAGAAACGTACTACTGTGATCAAAAAGTAAGGTGAATTTTTAATTTGAACTTCCCGTCTTATTCGAATCGTCCAATCTTTTTTATTTTTAAGTTGGTAGGAATGTCATTAACGTTTGCGCCAAATTACATGTTAAACTCATAATTATTTTTTTTTTGTTTACGCTTGTTTCTGAAGTACCAAAAGTGCATTCGGCGATTTTTACGATGTCTAATTTTGTTGAGCAAAGAAGTGCTATTAAATTTTGTTTGCGGAATGATATTTCTGCTGCTGAAACGTATCAAATGTTGCAAAAGGCCTTCGGTGAAGAGACTATGTCCCAAAAAAATGTTTACAAGTGGTACAAAGACTTTAAAGAAGGCCGAGAACGTGTTGATGACTTGGAACGCTCCGGACGATCATCGACTTCGATTGATGATTGCCACATCAACAAAATCAAAGAATTGGTGCTTGCAAATCGTCGGTTAACCATTCGAGACCTTGTTGACATGGTTGGAATATCATTTGGGTCAGTGCAAGCGATTTTGAAAGATCATTTGGGCCTCAGAAGACTCAAATCACGTTTGGTGCCGAAATTTCTCAATTTCTTTGAAAAAGAGCGTCGCGTTAAAACGTGTGAAGCAATGCTTTCTGACTATCATGACGTCTACAAACAAATTATTACTGGCGATGAGACTTGGGTCTACGCATACAACCCTAAAACAACCGACCAATCGAGTGAATACTGTGAAAAAGGCGAGCCGAGACCAAAGCAACCACGTCAAAGTCGCTCAAAAATCAAGGTCATGTTGACTGTTTTCTTTGATTATTGTGGTGTCGTGCACTACGAATTCCTTCCAACTAGCCAAACTGTCAACAAGGAATATTATTTAAGCGTTATGCGACGTTTGCGTGAAGCTATTCGCAAAAAGAGACCGGAATTATGGGCCAATAACTCTTGGATTTTGCACCACGATAATGCGCCTTCGCACACAGCACTGGTTCTTCGTGAGTTTTTCGCCAAAAACTCTACCCATGTTGCTCCACAACCACCGTATTCGCCCGACTTAGCACCGTGTGACTTCTGGCTGTTCCCAAAGCTCAAGAGACCACTCCGGGGAAATCGTTTTGAGTCCATTGAAGAGATCCAACGTGAATCGGCACGCACATTGAAGGCTATCCCTACCGAGGACTTTTTGGCATGCTTCGAAGACTGGAAAAAACGTTGGCAAAAGTGCATTGGGGCCGGGGGGGATTATTTTGAGAGGGACGAAACAGATTTGGAAGAATAAATAAAGATTTTTCATTTTATAAAAAAATTCACCTTACTTTTTGATCACAGTAGTATACAGACAGAATTTATGAACCAAATAGGACTAGTTGTGGATTTCCCAAAAAGTGGAGGATCTGGTAAGTGAAATTACATAAATACTTTTATATAAATCATCAGGTTAACTATCACATATATACAATTTGTAGGTACCAGTAATGATGGTAACACTGCCCGACGAGCCTTTGCAAACTATCAATCAACTGCCAAAATTTTGAAAGTAGATGAAACTCTTTTATTTTATTTTTACATCATACTAGTCACTTTATCATCTGGATTTAAAATTGACACTGTCAAATTTAAAGAGTTCTGTATTACTGCTCTTAAACTTTACATATCTAAGTATTCCTGGTATTACATGGCACAATCAGTACACAAAAATTTAGTTCATGGCCATGCCATCATTGCTAGACAGTACTTGCCAATTGGACTGATGTCAGAGGAGGCCCAAGAGGCCTGTAACAAGGATTTTAAAAAGTTTAGGGAAGATTTCAGTAGAAAGACTTCCAGAATCGACACAAATCGTGACCTAGTTAACAGGCTACTTGTATCTAGTGATCCTGTCATAACATCATTAAGAAAGTGTCATAAAAAAAATGGTAAGAGTTTAAAAAAATACCCCAGTGAAGTTTTGGTTTTGTTGAGGGAATCAGCTCCACCTTCTTCTTTTTCTTTGTAGCTAAACACAATTTGTTGTTTGATTTTTAAAAAAGGTTGATATTGAAAAAAATATTTTTTTACTACCTAAGCCTATTAAATGTCTTTTTTTTATTAAAAATTAAAATATTCTTGTTAAAAATAAATATTATTTCATATATAATGATTATTTATATATCTAAATGGGTTTGTGGACCAATTGGGTAATAATTAGGTTTTGTCCACCACTTCCCATATACCTGGCCCACTGTGCGTTGCGCGATATTATTTCAGCTCACGCTGAAGCGAAATGATCTTTCGATTTCAAGAGATTGTTGGAGTCCTAATTTACCGTTCCACTCTTAATTTTCTAGTAAATCTAAATTCACATGCAATTATTAAAAAAGAGAAAGCACAATACAGAATTGTTTTACCAGATTGCACGAGTATACATTTGCACAAGTATTCATTTTCTCAAGTTTACATGTATTCAGTTGCACGAGTATACATTTTCTCATTTAAATGATCATATTTAACCGACCAACCTAATGAAAAAACATATATCTTTCAAAAATCAATATTACAATAAATGAGAACTTTGTGCGCATTAAAAAGAGTTGTTTAACTTACCAGATGTAGCACAAGAGGTAGATACTAAAATTACAAAGTTGTAGCAAAAAATCAATTATACAAATAACGAGAAATGCATACACATTAAATTTATTAGTTTTTTAAATTACTAATTGCAGCAGCTGACTAAGGAACTAAAGTTAAACATATTGTAAAGTTTGCACATTAAAAATCTAGAGTTGTGTAACTTAAATATAAACAAATATATGTATTTCTTACTTATTTAATTATTACTTGTCGTGTATGGATTTCCCATTTGCTGCAATATTAATTTTTTAATTTTAGTATCTACCTCATGTGCTACACCTGGTAATATTTTTACAAGAATAAGCTTATTAATAATAAGCTTATTCTTGTGAAAATATCAATAATATTATTATTCTAAAATATCAATAATAATATTATTCTAAAAATATCAATAATAATATTATTCTAAAAATATCAATAATAATATTATTCTAAAAATACTTTGTCAAAAACTGTATTGGCTCAAGTCAATAAAGTTTTACTTTAATATCATTTGTATATTTTTATATATATGGTGTATTAACAACATTGGCATCTGATACTATTAGTTAATAAAATATTCCAAAGTAACGGTTTAATCTTAAATCCTAATCTTTTTTAATATATAATATATAAGTTTAAAAACCTTAATCTTTGTTTACATTTCATGTAAACAAAGATTAAGGTTTTTAAAGTTATAACTTTTTTAAAAAACAAAACAATAATGATAACTTTAAAAACCTAATTCTTTGTTTACATCATGTAAACAAAGATTTAGGTTTTTAAACTTATCATTATTGTATTGTTTTTTAAAAAAGTTATTATTATCATGAAAAACAAATTAACTTACTTTTTGAAGTCTTCTTTGTCATGACTTTTACCATTTTTATTTATTAAAATAATCTAATATTAAAAATTAAAATAATACAATGTAGTAATAATTTTTTTGTTTACCATTCGCCACCCCCTATCCTCCCCCGTATTTCTCTTACCGGATAAAACGAAAACAAAAAAAAAAAAAACGAGTTTAGGTACCAAAAGTCCTACACTTCTTATACTATCTGCTCCCTAATATTTTTTGCTGAAATTTGGCATGTGCAAAGAAAATGCATGCAAAAAAGTGCCTGAATAACAAAAAAAGCGGAAACTTCATTCCTTCGATAACAACTTAATGTGAGAACATCAACGAAATTTTCATGAAAGTTTTTAGCAAAACTAACCATAAAAAGGTTTAGTGGTTATACATAAAGGTACTATAAAAATCAAGCCTAGCTTTTCTTCTTTCCAAACATAATTTTTGTTTATATATGTTTTTAAAAAAAAAACACCACTAAAAACGTTTGTCTAACCCTACCTAAAAAAAGCAGCATATTTAATAAAGCACCTCTTTACATATCTGCTTCCTATTATTACATATCTGCTCCCTATTATTTTTCGTTGAAATTTGGCACATAAATAGAAAATACATGTATAAAAGTGAACAATCAAAAAAGCGGAAACTTCATGCCTTCGACTACAAATTCATGTGAAAACATCAACCAAATATTCAGAAGCAAAACAATCTGTTAAAAAGTTTGGTAACCATACATAAAAGTTTAAAAAAAATAAAGATCAGCTTCTCTTCTTTCCAAAAAGTATCTATGTGTATATATGTTTCTAAAAAGAAACTCCGTCTACCCCACGCTGCCTAAAAAAAAGTGAAAAAAGCGAGTCACAAAATTTTAGCACAAAAATCGGTTCCGTAAATAACGATATGCGCATACCTATATATATATATACATATATATATATATATATATATATATATATATATATATATATATATATATATATATATATATATATATATATATATATATATACTTAAAATTAAATTAAAATTCTTTATTTAGTCGATGAAATTCTTGAGAATAAAATGTTTTATATATTATAATAAATAAAAGAGTGTTTTTCAAAGTTAGATATATGTAACCTTATAAAAAAACTTTCTTTTTTTTTTACGTAAAAAATGAAAGTTTTTTATAAGGTTAGATAAATCTAACTTCATTACCAACCGTATTTTTTTTTTTAAATAATCATCTTTTGCATATCTTTTGCATAAAAGTTATGCTGATATGATATCAGCATAACATTTATACAAACCAAAAACTTTGGCAAAGCATAATAACCAAACATTTATACAAACATTTATAAAAACCAAAATATAATAACATTTAGTTGTAGCAACAAAATATATCTTGTAAACGTTTAATTTTGCTTTTATAGTACCATCATGGATAACGAAAAAAATATTTAAATAATGGCAATTATTGCAAAACGATATTTGGCCAAAACTCTGTATCCACCGCTATTGGACCAGTGCTGGTCCAAAATCAAATGCCTTCATAGTGGCTTACGACTATTCGCCAGAGTTCTGGCATTTCGTCGCACGCCGCTGCGACTTCTTGCGATGATTTACCGTACATAAAAAGTTGTTTGAATCGTTTGCTAGACTCGCGCCAGTTATGGCCCGTTACTAATATAGTCGCAACGGCGTGCAATGATTCGCCATAGTACTGGCCCGGAGTTGTTTGCTGTCTGGATTGGGGCTTGGCTATAGATAAGTCTATGAATTTGATTTTTTCATAAAAGCACGTGTTGGAGTTTATTTGCAATTAATGTAACTTGACATTTCTAATCAGACATTATTTGGGAAAATTATCCATAAAAAACCTTTTTTTTATAAAAATTGAAGTTACTATTTTCAATACCACACTTAAATGAGTATGTTTAACAATAATGTCACGTTAGATTTAGATACCTATGGTAGTGTTAATTTTTCTACCGTTTTTGCATAATTAATAATAACTTTTAGCCTCATTTAAAAAACTGTTTTTGGTATTTACAGTAGTGGCTCAAATAATTAAAGCCACCCAACATTTTTACAAATTTTCATATTCTGAAGCTGATTTTCCCTATATTTTGTAATGAGTTAAATTTACAACTATTTATTTTGGGAATATAGGATATAAATAATAGTAAATGACAAAAATATAGAAGTGTAACGTATATTTAGGAAAAATAAATAAGATATACAAAATATTGTACACAAAATCACTAATACTTAGTGTGGCCACCTTTTGCAGCAATTACGGCTTCAACTCTTCTGGTCATACTTTTGATGAGGTTTTGACAATTTTTTTTTATTTCCTCGCTGTGGTGCCAAACATTTATTAATTTTTCAATCAAATCTCTTTTATTTGTTATAAGATTTTTACTTATATCCCTCTTTAACAATTCCAATAAATTTTCTATGGGATTTAGGTCAGGTGAGTTACCTGGCCAGGGTAAAACATGGATTTTTTCAGCCTCTAAAAACTTTGTTAAAGTTTTTGCCTTATGGCATGGAGCAGAGTCGTGCTGGAAGGCAAAGTTCCCATTCGGATACCATTCCATCGCTTGAGGAATCATTCTTTCCTTCAAGACTTGGATGTACTGGTCCTGCCGCATTGTATTTTTTACAATGTATAACCTTCCAGTACCCTGGTTACTAATGACTGACCAGACCATAATTTTTAGCGGGTGCTTCACCCTCTCCACAAGACAATCTTCATTGAACATTTCACCTGTCCTTCTTCGGACGAAATTAGTTTTATCCATTAGAATTTCCAATGTGGATTCATCTGAGAAGCAAACCTAAAATTTTCAAAATTGGGTTAATATTTTTGATGAAATACTTATATTCTTTTTTTTTAATATGGTATTCGTTTAAATTTTAATGTGTTTATGAAGAGAAACTGAGTACTTACTCTTTCCCAATCATCAGTGGTAAAATGGCGATAATTTTTAGCTCATTGGAGACGTTTATCCTTCATTGTCTGGGTGAGCCTTGGTTTTTTGGTTGGTCTACAGGCCTTAAACCCCTGCTCCGCCATTCTTCTCCGAAGTGTTGCAAGGGATATTGTTATACCTTCATTGTTTATGATTTCCTTAAGCACTTTTTTCGATTTTCTCCTATTTTCTATCACAATATTATTTTTCTTTCGGTGTGAGGCGTTGTAATTCGATTTCGTCCACAATTTTTTCTTTTATTCAATTTTAGTGATTGATTATTGTCCAGTTTTCTTTTAATTCTATCGACTGTTGCTCTGGAAACATTCACACACTTGGCAATTTGCCTGTTGGAATGATTTCCACTCGACAAATATCCTTGAATAAGCCCTAGTTTTGTGGGAGAAATATATTTCTCTTTGCCCATACCTTAAAAACACCAATTATTTTAAAAAATTGCAAAATTTACCTAAATATGATGAAAAAGTTGTAAAATAATGATAACTTACTTGTAAATAGAATATATAATAAGTATTGAATAGTAAAATAAACAAATTTTGGTGTAAAAATATAAAATCAGCAAATAAAAACCGCCAGAAACACAACTATCGCCCAGTACAACACGTGCTAAAATGTGACATCTTCTGCAATAA